GGCCAGCCCAGCCCTAAACCACGACACAGATACAAGGCCAGAGAAAACCAAGTCTGGCTGAGGGCAATGGGGATGAGATGAATTTCAGTCTATTCGGGTTTCTTTCTTAATTTTGCAGACTCCAAAGCAGCAGAACCAAACACCGTAACTGTTTCAGCTTACTCTGGTTTTCTGCCCATAAGCAGAAAACTTCCAGAAACTCTACTTATAGAGAACTACAACTGGGGCAACTGAAGTTGTTACACAGAGTTTCTGAGCCATGAGGAAAAACCCATGACGGCGATGGCTCCCTGTAAGACGTAGCTGTTCCATACCTTTTGGTCCTGTTGCTCCATCAACGCTTCTTGCTCCATGAGTTTTTCCATTAAGGCCTGCTCCTGCTTTTTCCTCAGCTCGTTCTCTTCTTCTGCTTGCTATTTAGCACAAAAAACCCCACAGGTTATAGCTTCCAGTTGCCACAGGGACCCTAAATATTACAAATGAGTGACACGGGGCTTTCTGAGGAAGCAAGGTCAGGGGTAGCAAAGCCTCTGTATCCAGTATGAAGAAACTGGGCTGGGAGAGACCTCCCCCAGGTCACAGAAACCATCCCAAAAGACACAAATTGAGGGTGAAAGGTTTAAGCTGTGGCCACCCAGACATTTGATTTTTAAGGATTCCTCCAGCCACTTTTCCAGCCCTGAAAATGCTCCCCAAACAACCCAGTGCTGGCCGGGCTGGCAGTGCCGTGCTGCCGAGGACGGCTCACGCTGTGCCAAAGAAAAGGCTCTGTTGGGTGCCCCGAGCCACGCAGGTACCACATGGGGTTGAGAAGGACAGGAGAGAAGAGGAGGATGCTCCCGTTTACCTTGTAGGCCTTCACAAACCGGACAAACACTGGGAAGAAAACCGAGGGCGGTGTCGTCTTGGGATTCTCCCCAAAGTACTTCACAGCATCGTCAAAGGCATCCTACAAAAAAACCCCACATTTACTGCACTGCACGTATTTCCAGACAAACTCACCAGGAATCACTGCAGCAAAGGGTCTGCATTTCATAGTCGTAGAACATTTTGGGGTGGAGAGGACCTTAAAGATCACCTGCACCTTCTCCTCCCTGCTGTGCACAGAAAAGCCCATCCTTTGCCGTGACTCGCTGCTCTTCTGTGGCACTCGCATCCCCTCGCCAAACCCCAAAATAAATACACACCTGGGCTATTTTGGCGTCGTCCTGCAGCTTCTTCAGCTTCCCCTCGTTGCTCTGAATGAACTCCTTCAGCATGGTGTTGTGGTCGTGCATGGTGTACTCGCGCTTCGTCAGATCCAGGCCTCTCTGCAGCTCCTTCACGTCCAAGAGGACGTTTTCAAGGGAGACTAGGGGAAAAATAACCCCAAATACTGCATTGCTCCTGCTGTGCAACCACCTGAACCCATAGATTGACCAGTTTCCCACCGAGGAGAGCCCCCAGAGCCCATGTGTGGTGCACTGTGAAGTGCCCCCGCGCCAGCCAGGCGCAGGGGGTGGGGGTCCCTGCCGCAGCCTTCTCCACGTAGTGGAGCTCGTTGTAGAAGAGGGAGACGTGCTGGTACTTCTCCTTGACCACGTTGGAAATGTAGTGCAGCAGGGTCTGCTTTCGGTCCGTCGACTTCGTCTCCAGGAGCTGGGGGAGAGGACACAGGGGCTGGGGTGGAGCCTGGCCCTGGTGTTTGTCCATCCCATAGGGAAGGGCTGGAGAAACCCATTTATCATTCAGCTGTGGTGTGCAGAGGTCCCTCTGCTTTACTCACCAGGTCTAAACTCTGCAGCTTAAATCCATACACGGCTCCTCGCTTGCTGCTGTTCATGTAGTTCCCCAGGGCCAGGATGATCTGCCAGGAGGACACAGAGCACAGTGCAAACACTCAGGACAACCACACAGCGCTGCAGAAACCTCTGAAGGGGAGCTGGTGCATCAGCATCCCGCTATGGTTTCAGTATAAGGAGGGAGCATTGGATGTATCTACAATCAGACCTACCTCCAGTATTTTCTTCAGCTTTTGGGATGATTTTATCGAGACGGATGCGGCTATTATTGCGTGGAGTTGCTGCAGGTAAACACAGAAGAGCTTTGGTGAATGCATGTCCAACCCAAGGGTAAAATTCAAGTATCATTACTCACATTCTGAAATAAACCTGGGTTTTCATCCATTCCACGGGCCCCAGCATGAACGTTATCCCACCCTGGTACATCAGGACTGCAGATAACCCATGTGCACCGCAGATGTACCAACTCAGACGTGGTTGGGTAGCAGTGTGTTTATATTTCAATCCTCATCAGAGCGAACGGGACACGCTTCAAAGGGCCCAGCACTGATGACAAACTGATGATACAAACTGGATTTTCATTTAAACTGCTTTAAACTTCTAGAGGGTTAAGAAACAGGATGGTTTGGAGCAGACCAGGCTACAAGCTGCCACACCAACAGCACCAGGGATAGAGGAGTCACTGCTATATGAAAATACAGCCAGAAATCCACTTTTTGTTTGTGTGTTTCTTGTTCCGTCCTGTAAAACACAACCACCCCAAACACCCAACCCATCTCCATCTTGCACAGCCAGCGCATGGCCCTCACTCACCGGGGTCAGCATCTGGATGCTCTCTGCGAAGTTGCCGATGAAGGCCATGATGGTCATCTTCTGCATCAGCCTCTCGATCTTGCTGAACTGCATCATGAAGCGGTCCTCGTCCGACAGGTTCTCGATGGGCTTCCTCTCCCGCTCGTAGAGCCGCAGCACCTTCACCTCGTTCTCGGTGGGCAGGAACCGCATCAGGCACTCGACAAAATCCACCGGCAGCGTCTTCAGGTCAAACCTGCGCAATGATCACAGATCACAGAATGTGAGGAGCTGGAAG